ATTCACCCCCCATTCCCTCCTCCTCCGAGGCAAGGTCTCCCCTGGGGATTCAGCTCAGCCTGGTAGATTCAGCTGAGGCAGGTCCGGTCCCCTCCTCCCTACACCAAGGTTGAGCAAAATGTCTCAGCATAGGCCCCAGGCTCCAAAAAGCCAGCTCATGCACTAAGGACAGGTCCTGGTCCCACTGCCTGGGGGTCTCCTAAATAGTTCAAGCTAATCAACTGTCTCACTTATCCAGAGGACATGATCCAGTTCCATGGGGGCTCCTCAGCTATTGGTTCTTTTTTTAAATATGTGGTACTGCATAGAACGTTTTTCACTATGAAGAGGGACCAAACAAAATTTACATAAGTACCTAGATTCACTCCTCTTCCCTTGGGCGGCACAAACCATGCAGGCTCTCAGGAAATGTTTTCTTTCCACACACTGGAATAACGAAGGTTCATGCTGCTTCGCATCCCCTGACAACCCTTTGGATGGATCATTATGAGGTGCTCATCTTGCAGCCCCAGGGGAAGGGCTAGACAGATTTGTTTCTGGTTCCGGAGACCTTCATTATTGTCCTCTGTTATCCAGTCTCTCACCATCGATAGCAGAAACTGTTCATTTTTCATTTTTGCTCGTGAACTGAAGAGGTACACTCCAAATGAACTGAAAAGTCCAAGATTTATAAGGTACAGCATTACATTTTTGTCCATTTCATCATTTTCCTTTGAATGGACAGGAACTGATCCTCACGGTCAATGCCTTTCATGTTGGCCATGATGTGATAGGGTTACAATATTCTCTCCCTATTTTTTTTTTTCCTGTTGTTGAGATAGAAGTGTCATGGATCATTGATATCATTGGGACAACCTGATTGTCTTTCCATGCTAGGAGAAGACTATATTTTCCTTTTCTGGAAAATATTATGTCACCTTTCTTCATTCTTGATGTTTTCATTTTCAGATTTGGTGATAACCTCTGCTCTCCCTACTAGTCCCACAGACTCTAATTTTGTTCTGTAGCAGGAATTCATCAGTAGATGTAACATTGTAATAATTATCCTGGTAAATATGGTGCCCTGTGCTAGAATAGGGTCCAAAGACTGAAGAGCAGTTTCTTTCCTCCAGCAGTGTGTATCTTCATGTTGTAGACACAGTCAGTGTTATTGGTGGATTCTTGGGAGTTTCCCTGGTATCTCTCTGACCCCAAAATCAGCCCCCATCAAGACATCTCTTTCATTACTCCCCCTCTCTGCCACATCCAACCCAGCCAACCCAGTCCTTCATGTTCCCATCTCCCCTCCAGTGTTAACACAGGAGATCTCTTCTATTTCCCTTCCCAGGGAAATCCATGCATCCCTCTTTGGGCCCTCTTTATTACCTAGCTTCTCTGGTGCTCTGGATTGTAGCCTGGTTATCCTTTACTTTACAGATAATATCCAATTATGAGTGAATACATGCCATGTTTGTCTTTCTAGGTCTGGATTATCTCACTCAGAATGAATTTTTCTAGTTCCATCTATTTGCCAGCAAATTACATGATGTCATTGTTTTTTTCTTTGTTTTGTGTTTTTGTTTTTTTAACAACTGAGTAATACTCCATTGTGTAAATGTACCACATTTTTCTTATCCATTCTTCAATTGAGGGTCATCTAGGTTGTTTTCAGGCTCTGGCTATTACAAATAACACTCCTATGAACATAATTCAGCAAGTATCCTTGTGGTATGCTTGAGCATCCTTTGGGTATAGCTTGGTCTTGAGATAGATTGATTCCCAATGTTCTGAGAAACAACCATAGTATTTTCCAAAGTGGCTATACAAGTTTGCATTCCCACAAGTTTGCAGTGGAGGAGTGTTCCCCTTACTTCATATCCTCTCCAACATAAGATGTCATTAGTATTTTTGATCTTAGCCATTCTGACAGGTGTAAAATAGAGTCGTTTTGATTTGCATTTCCCTGATGGCTAAGGATGTCAAACAATTCTTTAAGTGTGCCTTGACATGCAAAACACAAGAAAACTTGTGAGTGGTATGAAATGTGTTAAGAAAAATACTTTATTATGATTGTTTAGATTACTGATACTTGTTTTGGCTTATTTAGAATGGAAGGTTTGCTACAATTTTTAATCAAATGAAATTACTTAATGATGCTGTCACTAATAAAATCCAAGAGAGCTTTCAGACTAACTAAAACATAAGTTGGAGAGCAAATCTTAGCATTGTTATGACATTGCATACATTACATACAAAGATGTACAAAACATGGGATAATACTGATACAATGTGTTTTGTTTGTTTTAGTCCTGCTGGCCACAAGGGGTATAGCATGCTGTATGTTCATAATGTCTATCTGTATTCAGAGATATGCTATTAGAAAAGAAATGTCAATGAGAAGACACAACTTTCCCATCTATCTGGTTTTTGTATATGTGTTTATACTAAGTTAGTGTTGCCTTACAGAAAATTTCAAACTTATAGAAAAGTTACTAAACTGTTCCCTGTGTGTTCCATGATATCCTTCAACTTTATTTTCTTTCACTGACTTATCATATATCAGTGATTTTCTATTTCTACTTTTGACAGAAAGAATAAACACCAAGTTGGCTTTACTCTGGAGGAACAGAAAGACTTTAATGGAAATACCTGTATTTATTAGAAGTTGATGAATTTCTTAGCAATTCTCTAGAGAGATATTAAAGTATATCCAAAAGCAGCTGTCCCTTGCATTCTTTCCTGTCTTCTTAACATTTAACTGCACAGCTAGAGCACAAGGTTCACTTTTGCTGCATTTAGCTCACAGTGAAACAAATCACTGGTCCACAGATGTGTGGACTTTGAATTTATTTATACTTCAGGTTTTCTGAAGTGGTATAGTATAAAGCAGCATAATTGCTTGAGTTAATGAGAGTCAGGCAAATGTGATGTGTGAGAGCAAAGGAAGCAAATGAAGTGACTTGCAGTAGGGCGGCCCATGCATGACCAGGGTCAGAAATGCCTTCTCTTTAACCCTAAGCACACCGTGGCTGATGCTGAGCTAGGCTTGTCTTTAATATCTCTAGCACTGAATGAAAAATATATAACAATAAGGTCAGTCTTGCTTTCTGGTCATAAATGTTGACCAGGGAGGCACACTGTATATTATGTCGAGAAAGAAGACACTGTGTGCCAAAGTGAGCAATGCTCTTGACAAAACACTGAGCTTCATTGATGTTTTTTCTTATCACCTGTGTAACCTATAGGTCTCTAAAAGCAATTCAATCTCATCAATTTGTAGAGGCCACAGTGTTGTTGTATAGGCAGACTGCACCCTTGGATAGCCCACTTTAACTCAGTGATAAATTTTAAAACTCCTAGAGGAGAGAATAGATGCCTCATGTTTGGAGATGCCTACCATAAATATTGTTTTCCATTCGAGTTCTTGATGGATCACAGGTTGCAGTGAATTTGGGGTTAAACTCACCAAAGATTCTGAAATGATGTTCTTTCTTCTGAGGCATTGCTGATCATGTACATGGATGCTTGCTCTAACACAGCCACCCTGGGTATAAGGTACATTTTTCTTGCCATATGGGTTGAGATGACGTTGTGGTAGACAATGTTTTCTTCTAAGCATGTCTTGGAACTGCACTGGCAAACAAATGATTAATGGAAGTCTTAAGTTTTATGTCATAAACTATGTACATAGAATTTAATATTAATCTGCTTTAAAAGGTATGACTGAACATCTGCTGTGGCTGTTTTTAAAAATATTCTCAACAAAACTTTCTTCTAAGTGCCTCTTTTTCTTCTAACACTCATACTTAAACCTGTCTTAATTTTTTAAATATTGTTTTCAACTCTACTTCATATAAAAAAGGAAATTAACTTTTTATCATGTTAAAATAAGGTACAGTTTTATACCTCATACATTAAGATTCACAGTTTTTAGTGGGTGGTTTTGTGAGTTTTGGTAAGTACACTCAGATATATAACCACCTTCACCATAATAAAAATATAGGCTAGTCCTATCACCTCTAAAACCTCCAATGATGCTAACATCCCTCTTCTGACTCGTAGCCCTGGCAACCACTAATCTGTTTGCCATCTCTGTCATTTTGCCCTTTGCAGAATATTTTGTAAAGGTACATGGTGTGATTTTGTTGAGTGTGTTATTTCACTTAAGTTAGTAAACTTGTGATTCATGCATTCCATTGCATGTATCAAAACTTGGTTCTTCCTCATTGTTAAGCAGCAACCTATCATTTGTTCACCTGTTTCATATGTGAGGGAAAGTTGAATTTCTTTTTTTTTCTATTAAGAATGGACCCATACAAAGTATTTGTGCTCAAATTTGGATGTAGCTATGCTCTATTACACATACTGATGTGCCTTTTAAAAATTAATGACATTATCTTCAAGCAGCACCATAGCACAGATGTAACAAGTTCCCAACCCTGTGTTCCCAGCCTGCCTCCTCCCATCTCCTTTGCTAGTCCCATCATACATTACACCTGTTTTTACCCTAAGATCTCACCAGATATTGTGGTCATTGTTGCTTTGGGTAAATGGTGACCTTTTATATCATTTATTTGAAACTAGAATTTTTTATACTAATTTCACTTGTCATTTTCACTTCTCAGTTTTTTGTGTTTCTTTATTATTACTTTTACTTGGGGGAAATGTCTTTCATCTGCCAAATATAAATCTTTCTTCTAGTAGTAAATTCTGATTTTATTTATTTGAAATACATTTCTCTTCATTTTATAGCTTCTACTATAAGGTATTATATGGCATTCTTATACAATTCTGTTTACAGTTTTTATTCAATGCTATAAAATGTCACTCTATTATGTAGCCAATATTTTATACAAGCAATCATTAGTTTGTCAAAGTAGATAACTTCTAAAATGTGTAGTATAGGACTCTAAGAGAGTGAGTGGTTACTGGCTCTAGGGCCAAGGAAGCATGGTCAAATTGAAAACAGAGAGCTGTTGGTTTTGGGAGCTGTCCTCTTCCACCACAAGAGTGCACTTCAGACCCTGTGGGAAACATGGGGATAGGGGGTGCTGGGTGTAGAGGTCCTTGATGACATACAAGGATGAAGCTGAAGTACAGCAAGTTGACCTTGTGTCAAAGAAACTGGCTGGAGAGTAAGCATCTTTGAACCTTCAGCATGCCACTGAGCAGGAAGGAGAAAAAACACTGAGAACTAGGAAAGGAAGCTGCCACCTCTCACCTTAGCACTTACTATTGATAAAGCCCAGAATTATGCAGTTGACAAAAGAGAAATGTTGATAAGCCCCAGTTTTATTTAAAATGTATGACAAACAGATGTGGATTTGGAGGAGGTAGGAAGCAATAAACTCATAAGTAGTGCACATGCCAAGATGGACTACATGCAAAATCATGCCCAGGTAGCAGGTGAGACATTCATTTGAATTTTTAATCATTTTATTGTTGTTTTAATCAATGAAAGCCTAATAGAGTGACCTTCTGTGACTTTAGGGAACAGTCTTTCCTTGCTCCTGTAAGAGTCATTGGCCTTAGGCATCACATTACTTTCAATCTCTGTCTTCTCATGGACTATGAGCATCTTTGTCCTTGTTTCCTTATAGAACACCAGGTTTTATATTCAAGGCCCCTCTGAAATCCAGGACAAGTTCCTATTGATTTTATCTGTAAAAGCTCCCATTTCAAGTAAGTCACCTTCCACAGTTGTGGGTTAAAACAGGTTTTTTTTAAAAGATACTATTTAACCCACAGTGGCCATTATGAAGGTCTAACTATAGTAGCATATGTTAATGAAAAACAATTGGAAAATTATAACCATAATTGAAGAAAATTCAATAACAAATAACATAAATCAGAATTTATTAAGCTTTGCTGAGAGAAGTTAAAGGAGGCAGAAGTAAATGGAAAGACATACCAAGCTCTTAGATTGGAAAATTAAAATTTTATAAGATATCAATTTGCCTCTAATTTTGTAGATTCAATTTCATCCTAATAAAATTTCTAACAGTTGGGGTCTGGAGTGATGGCTCACTGGTTAAAAGAACAGACTACCTTCCAGAGGACTCAGATTCTATTCTCAGCCCCATATGACTGATCACAACCATCTATAACTTGAGTCCCAGGGGATCTGACACCCTCTTCTGACCTCCAAGGTCATCAGGCATGCATGTAGTACATGTACATATACACATACAGGCAAAGCACACATACACATAAAAATAAATAAATCTTTAAAAAAAGTTTCAAGAATCAGTTTTTTTTTATTTGTAGAAGTCAATCAATTTATGATGAAATACCAGAAATATAATATAACAATAGCATGCTTTTAAGGATAGGAAAAACATTGGTACACCTACAGTAGATGACTTCATTTACGTATGAAACAAATTTAGTATATTTAAGGTTATGGCAACTGAAATAGCTTCTTATTATTAATGGAACAGAGTAATGATGGAAATAGTAGAAAGTATGTGGACAATTGATCTATTGTTAAAAAGTATAATTGAAAGGTATTTTTTAATAAATCACCTAGACACATTAGGAAAGCCATGTAATTTAACTTTTATTCATGTAATTAATAAAAAAAACTACAAATGGATTAGAGAGAAATACAAAAAGTTTTTTGTTGTTGTAGTTGTTGTTTTTCAAGACAGGGTTTCTCTCTGTAGCTTTCCACCTTTCCTGGAACTCACTCTGTAGCCTAGGGTGGCCTCGAACTCACAGAGATCTGTCTGACTCTGCTTCCCAAGTACTGGGATTAAAGGTGTGCACCACCACCGTCCAGCTATGAAAAGTTTTAACTGTAAATGCTATAGGATAAAGTTTTTTTTTTGTTTCTGTGTATTTGACAACACAGAATGCATGAAGAATTATTATTGATAACTTTGAATTCATGAAAATCAAACAACTCTGCCTTTTGATAACCAAGAGAGGGGCTTTAATGCTTTCCTCAGCTTGAAACTTCCCAGGGGCTTCTTCCTCCCCAGCTCCTAACCTTTCTCCCTGACCCTGACTGAATTCCGAAAGGTCTGCAGGTGGTGGCCTCCCTTCCCTTTCTGTAGAGCATTTACATTGGATTGCATTTTCTGTCAAATTCTTTTAAAAACTAAATCAATTTTTTGAGACTTTCATAAATGAGGATTATGTTTCATCGTTTTTTATACTTCCTCTTTTCCATCCAAATTCTCTACCTTTGGGACGAAAACTCTTTTAAAAACACCCATTTCAGTTTTACTGGAGGGCAGTCTTAAGGACCTGGGATTCAGCTCTTCCAAGTGTGATCATTAAGGTGGTAGCCACATGCTTGCCATTCTCTGCCTTGGAGTAGGGGTGGCATGGGGGTCTGACTTCACTGCAAAACCACCTCTTGTCCCAAATGTATGAGAACACTTACTTTTCACTAGGATAAGACCAATTAGCAAACACAGATGGCTTGTGGTTTTCTCATTAGCTTTAAAAAATCTTGCTTTCAGCAGGGATGCCTTCAGATTATATTTCATTTTCTGTCATATATATAATAATACTCTTAAAGAAAGTCATCTTTACTGTCTCAAATGTCCAGGCCAATATTTGCTTCAATACTACAAGCTATTGAGAAGATTAAAAGGCAAACCTTGCCCCGAAGAAAAATAAAATAAAATAATGACATAAAAGAAAAGTCACAAATAGGAAGACAGTGTTACCAATACAAATATCTGACCAAAGATTTCTATCAAGAAAACAGATCTTTTACTGTCCATGTTTAGAAGACAACACTATAAGACACTTTACCAAAGATAATAAAAATAGCCAATGCATACTTAAAAAGATGTTTACCAACTTATCAAGGAATAAAAAATAAAACAGTAATAAGAACTAATTCCCACAAAAATGGCAAGCATTAAACATATAAATTCCTAAAGATAATCACCAAGTTCTGTTTAAGAAAGAAAGCTATTGGATATTGTGTGCATTGCTAGTGGGAATATAACGTTGCAGACACTTTGGAGAACCATGTAAGCAGTTTCTTAGAAAGTTATACAAATTTCATCAGATAATTTAGAAGTTCTACTTATAAAGCAGTCTGAGAACAAATGCTTATGTAAGAAGTTATATAAAAATTCCCAGAGAAATTTATTCATAGTCCCCTGAACTACAAACAACCCAAATGTCTCTTACCAGGTGATTTGATAAACTGTAATATCCATGCATAAAAAACTGCCCAGCACATAGAAGACATGAATTATTGATAATAGATAACACAAATGAGTCTCAATGACATTAAGCTCAATGAAGTGTCAGCACAAAACACCTAAGTATATAATGATTCCATTTACATGCTGTTCTGGAAGAGATAAAATTAATGTATATAGATAACAGTCAGATCTGTTCTTGCTTGGGGTGAGGTTGAGGGTGGAGGAGAAAAGCATTAGGGAATCATTAGGGGTAATGAAAAGCTTCATTGCTCCATAGTTGCACTAGTTACACTGATCTATGTAAGCCTTGCAAACCCCATTACTCTACACTTTTCAAATAAGAGCATTTTATTTTTCCGGTAAACACACTACTATGAAGTTGATGAAAAATAAACAACTAATGTGAGAACTTCAGCATAATATAAAAACTGAATTTCAGACTGTATGCTATTTTTTCAGTTA